TCTACCACAATTTCACATTACAGCTACTGATAATAACTGGAACTGCGCTTCCAAAATCACTAGTACGCTGTGAGGCAAGAAGGAATGCAGTCTGGCAGGCCAAACTCCATCAGGAGCAGACCTGATTCAGCCAAGTGCTTATGTGTCACTGAAATCAATGGAACTATTTAGGGGCTTAATTGCTTTCCTGAATCCAGGCCAAAGAGACAAAAAGCAAGATGGTTAATCTGCAAGGCTCAGATATAGATATATATATATATATATATATATCTCTTTAGTCTGGAACACTTAGATCCTTTATCAATATTATGATTCTCCCTAATAATTCACAGTGGTTTAGAAAAGTTTCAAAGGAAACATATGCCTTACTCTCTGGCGCTGATTTAGCAAACATTTTGGTGTCTGTGTAACATTATTCATGCAAATAGTTCCATTTTCTTAAGAACAGAAAGACACGAGTGGAGTGCCACAAGAGGCTGTTTTCTCAGGTCAGAGCTGTATTTTAATATCTACAGCACTTAAGCATTCCAACCAAGGTTATACAACTGTTAGAGTCATCTGGACCTAACACCAAAATGTTCCCTATTGCGATCTGTGTGCGGGTGAATATTCTTGTGCTAGAATATTTATTTTAGGCTCTCTTTTAAAAGAAATAATAATAAGTTCAGGGAGTTATAATTTTTTTTCAGTTGTTTTTCTTTCAATAGTAAACATACCTCAGACAAATAAAAATTAACAATTCCAATACCTATGTTGAAATAATGCTTTTACTCACTGGTTAGTCAGAACCCATACAGAATGGCTGCATTTGCCCTAATTAATGTCCCATTTTTAGCATAGGCTTTAATTAACAGCTGACATTTAAGCAGCAGTACAATGTGTTGTGCATTTATCACCTGGCCTACTTCTGTGTGATTCAAGTGCTCTTGGAGAAAAAGGCACGATGCCTTTTTTTCCTGAAAGTTTTGCAGAACAGAGTGGCGACAGAAAACTGAGGAAGAGAGAGGGAACACAGCTGGATCTTCAAAGGAATTTAGGGTGGAGTTTTCCAGTACAATTAGCCTGACCCAGTGACCAGTGACTGGCTGCCCCCTCAAAAGAGGGGCACTCACTCATGCATCTCTCAGCTTTGCCCTGGGCAACTTATTTCTAACCCACACCTCCTTAAACTGGCAATGCCCTGACTGCCACAGGGAGAGTCAGGAATAATAATACAACAAAGCCCATTTGACAGCTCAGTGCTGCTAAAACGGGGTGGCCTTCCTCCTACACTTTCTCCATCTTCTTTTCCCTGTTTTGTGTCCCTGAGGCTCACCTGGTGGCAAGCCAGTCTGCTTCAGTTCCTTAGCCCTGCAATCAAAACAAAACCTAGTTGTTGTGCTAAAGCAGTTTCCTGCCCATTCAGTGAGCTCAGCTGGCTCACTGTGCAATCACCCTTGGTCCCAGCTCCTAGGAAGGAGGAGGAAGAAGTGTGGGACCACCACACATCAGTGGAGATGAGCTGGTATTTTAAGCTGTACTGTAAATTGAGTAGTCTTGTGAAATCAGATCTTATCTTGTGTAGGAAGGTACACCACACACTTCTGTACTGTATATGTTTCCTGCCAGAAAATTAATGTCTAATCAAATGACAGTGGGAGCACTGGCAGGGGCCTGCTGGCTCTTTTGGCTGGACTGAACCCACTCTTCCAGTGGTGAGCTGTAACCAGACAGAGGACTTTTTGCAGAACAAGAACACACTTCCCTACGTGTTCAAACTGCTGTATATGGCATGCAATAATTTAAGTGGCTATTAATGTTTAAATACATCAATATTTGCTGTGTCACTGAGAGCTTGAGCAAACACAAAGCTGTGGCCATGCTGAACCACCTTCCTGCTCTCTGGCCTGATGAATATTTCATTATGCTAAACCAAGTGAAACAGCTTTTGGCATGGGGGCCTGAGCCCCTTTCTCTCAGCTTCCCCAGAATATACTGCAGCCTGCAGATCAGAGCACCTTCCCCAGAGAAGCGAGCTGCTTTACTTGGGCAGAGGGGGGCATTCAGCCTGGCTGGGTGACACTTCCCATGCCATGCTACAGAGGCAGGTGTTGCTTTGCCTCTTCTTCCAGTCATGTTTTGGTGGAGCCTGGGATCAGCTCTTCTGGTTCTTACCAGGCCCACAGCAGGAGACCCTTAAATGACATGGGCAGAGAAAAAGTCAACACATGGTGGTAGGACAGGCATGGAGCTACCTGAGAAGAGCTGAGCCCTTTGCAGACATGTCCAGTGACCAAATACTGAGTGGGAAATAACCCTAGTCTCATGTGCTGGTGGCTTTGAGTCATGAGGCGGGCAGGCTGACATACAAGTGCCTGATAAGGCTGCAGACCTGAGGTATGCACGGTGACTGGCCTGTCCCCAGCCAGCCTCTGCCTAACAAAATCAAACCAAATTTAACTTGGCACGCAGGGCTGTGTTTAGAAAGCTGCAGCAGCTCATGGGTATTTCAGATATCCGCAGTGGGGACAGGAGAGGCAGCTGGGATGGTAGTCTTGTTAACAAGCCTGGTAGAAATTGTCTCTTCCCAGGAATCACAGCTGCCAGGCACCAATAGGATTTGGGACCTCCCAAGTTTGGCTGTGAGAAGAAACTGAATACCATGATTTTGGATAAAGAAATCTGAATTTTATTAAGATTTTGGAAATTTAGAAATAGAATGCAGGTATCCATGTCTTTTTTTGTGGATCTAGTCTTTGGAATATGCATTAGGCTGGCCATCCTTTAGCCTGTTACACTTCCACACAGAATTGATGGTATTTGCCTCCTAAAAATTACAGTTAAGGGACCCTTTATGAACTGACTGTGGGGCTATGTGTCAGTTAGTATCCAATAATTCTTGAGATCTAAACCCAGATCTGTCATCAGTTTGTTCCATGTCTCTGAAAGGAGTTTGTAAAAATAGCACCAGGGAGCTCTGTCTCTATTGGAATTCAATATTTCAGTCTGGCAGGCTTGGATCTGAGAGTGAAGCGTCGCTCTTTTAGCCAGTACACCATCACTGGCTTCTCGGTCAGTGATAGGGAATGGGAACATACTAAATCACTCAGGTGATGATCTGACACTTCTAGGGCAGTGTTGCTTTAGCAATGCAAGAAGAAAGTGTTATTGACATCGGTGGGATTATTCCCATGAATATGAATAAGAAACTTTGCAGGATTGTGCTTTTTTTTTTTTTTTTTTTCCCCCCTTCTTATTGTACAGTCAGACATGCAGGGACTAGTGTCACCATCCTGCTGGAAATTACAACTTGCAAGGGGTCTTTAGCGTCTGTTTTCAAAGAGGATCTGTTCACTTTCCTACAGTCCTTATTCTGCTCTCTGAGTATATCCTGTTCTAATCATCATGTCATGTACAATACAATGCAACAAAAAAATGTAAGGCAAACTGTTGTTTATGGAACTGCAGGTCAGGTTTGTGCTACTTTCTCTTAAGTGCTGCTAGGTGGCAATATGTTACCTAGAAAACCAGGAGCTTCCAACCACCATCCCTCTCCCCAGCTTCCGACCTAGCTAGGACCTGTCTGGGCATTGCTCCACTCAGAAAGGGGACAAGGCCTTGGAGCAGGACCCGGTGAGAGCTGCTTCACGCTCACAGATTTCTAATTCGGTACTGAGGTTTTCCAGAAACAAATGCAGGACTGAGTCCTAATCAAAAAATCTCTCCTCTGTGAACCCAAGAAGAAAAATAAAAGGCAATCCTGCCTGTTCCAATATTTCTGTTTATACTGAGAGCATTGTAATAAGGGAATGAATCCTTTTCTTTTATAAATATACTGCCACCTGGGACTAGAATATTTCATATTCTCACAGGATTCTCTTAACAATACAAAATTGAAAATATCTGTTCAGAGTGCAAAGATTTTGTTTTTCCAAATGTATGATTAATTGAAATCCTCTACATGTGCAACCATAATATTTAATCAACTAGTCCAATTTCAGGAGATCTGTATTGACAGTTTGGTTGAAAAACAGCTTTAATAAAGGTGGAGAAGATGTATTTCCAGATATATCTTTCAGACACACTACAAATACTTAAAAATTGAGTCATCTTATGTATGTGTATTAACAAGGACTGAGTAAGACTGGCTCGTATTTGCATATTGCTTTGAATATACAAAGTGCTCTGCATTGAAAGAAGCATTTATTTCCCTTGATCTGGCTCCTGGTGTGGCAGCACATGCTCTTCCAGCCAGGGGAAAGGCAGAGAGGGCAGGGCTGTGTGTGATGGTGCCATTTTATGCTGGTTGTAAATTTACACAAAATTACAGTTTAAGGATTATTCCCTTTTGATGCAGGGAGAGTTTGCAGTTGGCGCGGCACATTGGCCTAGCTGCCCGAGTGTGGGTGCAGGTGAGCAGCACCTGAAGCTGGGGAGGCAGTGGCCAGGCACACACCTGCTGGAAAGGCCTCACACTTGGGTGGACAGATAAAACGGATATATGTGAACATGGGGAGCCTAAGTCTCTCCCTGGGGCACCAAGGGTAGGGCATTAATGCCTCTCCTCCTGACAGTGTGACACCAGGGAGAGCAAGCGGGTTGGGAGGTCAGAGAGCAGCTCCTTTATTCCAGGCTGAAGGATTCACATCCTAACTCGAGTGACCTGAGGTGAGATGTTGTTCTGGGATGGCAGATAAATTACCATCTTTAATTATATTGGCTTGCATAGAAATCTTGGGCTTGCTTTTTGACGATGAAGGCTACCGGTGCAGGAAACAAAAAATAATAATGACCTGCTTATGTGGTATTTAGAAACCTTGGAGCTAACCAGAGTCTTCTGCGGCAAAACTGCTTAAATTTGGACAGTTTTTGGAGCCTGGGGTTACCCATAAGTGGATGTGGCATAGAGCCATGGTCACTGCTTCCCTGCTGCGGCTCAGACCAGCCAGCCGCCAGCCTCGGGCCCGCAGAGGCTCAATATTCTCTTTAATCACCTGTGCTTCGCCCCGGGGGCTGCCCCGGTAACCGCTGCTCCCCGCGGCAGGGCGGCTGCAGGCCCGGCCCAGAGGCCTCGGCCTAGAGGCCTCAGCTCGGCCCGGCGCGGCGCGGCGGCGGTTCCCGGCGGGGCCGCTTTCACGGCAGCACCGCCTGCCCGACCGGCGACGGGAAGGGGAGCGGCGGGGCCAGGTCAGTGCCCGGCCGCGG